TTTGTATTTTTTTTTTTGAGAGTTTTTTTGCTATAGGACACATGTGCTCACCAGAAAGAAAGAGACAGAGAGATAGAAAGCGAGAAATCACCCCCCCACGGGGGATGGCCATGTCACAATCCCTTCCCCTCCATTCTCCTCTCAGGATCTTGGGCACGCACGCACACACACACTGCGTGAGTTTAAGCCACCAGGTCTGGGACTCGAACTGCAGTCGACTACATGGGAGTTCAGCGACATAGCCATTACGCTAACTGCTCATCTTACTATTTGTATTTTTAATTTTCGCCATTCTAACAGGGGTTATGTGGTATCTCATTGTGGTTTTAATCTGTATCTCCCTTATGATGAGAGATGTTGAACATTTCTTCACATGCTTTTTGGGTGTTCGTATGTCTTCCTTAAAGAGATTTTTTGTTCAGCTCACTTTCCCATCTTTTAATTGGGTTATACTTTTTTGGGGGGGGTGGTAAACTGCTTGTGTTCCCTGTGTATTCTGGTTATTAGTCCCTTATCTGAGGGATATTTTATAAAAACGTTCTTCCATTCTGAGGGTTGTGAATTCACACTAATTACTGTGTCTTTTGCTGTGCAGAATAAAATACTTTTAAATAAGTAAACAAATAAAATGAACATGGCTATGAAATTTAGGGGCTTGTCTGGGATGAATGAAGGAAGTCCTCTGGCAAAACCATGAACTAAGCAGATCTGGCTATGTCACTCCATAGTCACGTGGAAGGCTCAGCAGAATGGGTCTGCTGCCCAGACTTTTCCTGGGAGTTATTTTTTTAAGAGGGGAACCCTCATTGGCTAGCTCTCCCTCAAACCCAAAATTCCCTGCTGGTTAAACGCAGGTTTCTCTTCGCTGGCAGGAGGAAATGGAGAGAACTTGCCTTCCTCCCAGTTGACTGGCTCAAAATACATCCGGACTCAAAAAATAAAATAATAGAATAAAATGAGAAATAAAATAAAATAAACCGGGTCCATGGCACAGCAGTGAAGGGGGGCGCGGGAAGTTCAGGTGGTCTGGAGGGAACAGCACTCTGGAGGGTGAGTCTGTCCGCAGTGCTGGGGCTCCCGTGGCTGCACTCCCAGTTGGGCGTGGTGAACCAGCTGGGCGTTGGCCAGGGCCCCAGAGCCACAGAATGAGGAGGCAGCAGTGTCCAGGTACAAAGAGATGACTGAATCCTGGTGTCCCTGCTGTTTCAGTGGCTCAAAGATCCAAAGAGCTGCCCACGGGGGATGGGGAGGAAAGACCCTTCCTCAGGGACCCGAGAATGGCTTTCCTAACTGTGGTTGTGGGTGGGCACAAGAGGGTGAACGCCTGCTGGCCTGTGTGTCTTGTGGGGGTATGTGTTGGAGAGGAAGTCTTGTGTGTTTGTGTGGCACTGAAGCCAGAGGGGACTTGGAGGGGACATGAGCAGGTGTAAACACCCACCTCAGCCTCCCTTGAGGTAAGGTATCAGAACAAGGTGTCCACAGGTGGGAAAGCCCCAGGGCAGCACCAGCAAAACCTGGCAGGTGGCCCAGAGGTCAGGAGAGGAGCCCGCTCTGGGAATCCATTTTCTTATCCGTGGGGGTTGAGATGAGACAGGTTCTCCATTTGGGGCCTTGGATTAGGTTTTGCTGCTTTACTATCCTAAGAAATGAGCCTGTCTAGGGGCCAGCAGGTGGCATGGTGGTCAAGGACTCTGGACTCCCACATGGCTGACTATGGTTTGAGTCCCAGACATGGTGGCTTGCTTTTTCACTTTCCCTTTCTCTCTCTCTCTCTCCCCCTTTCTGGTCAAATTAAAATAATAAATAAAGTTAAACAAAAACTAATTCTTTAAAAATAAAAAATAAATAGGTCCATCTTTCTTTTTCCTCTTAAAACATATATATGTGTGTGTGTTTGTATATATATGTGTGTGTGTGTATGTGTATATATATATGTGTGTGTGTGTGTGTGTGTGTGTGTGTGTGTATTCCCCTATTTCTCACCCTCTGCCATTTCCCACCCTCCTCTTACACTGTCTCTGGTATCTACAGTTGCTTTCCATTCCTTTCCCCCCCACACACACTTTATTGATTCGCAGAATATCTTAATTAATCTACTTTCAATAGCAAGTTCAGTTGGCATATACATATCTGTAAATACATGCCTGACTTGTGTCATGAAATTCTGTGAATAGAATGAATATATTATAAAGTAGCACCTAGCTGAGGTTATATACCTTACTGGGGTCATTAAATGGGTATTTTTAAATATATTTTTTAATTTCAAGAAAGGCAGTTTTAGCTTTAATGAATTAAATTAAAAAATGTTACGAGAACTTTGCTTAAGGCTTAAAGCCAGGAAACAGGTTAGGATTCTGTTCAAATAGTAGGTGCATGAACCTATCGACAGCTCAAGAAAAGACAAAAATCCTTAAATCTGGAAAACAAAGCATAGAAGAAAATCAGTAATGTTCTAGCCAGAAGTCATACAATTCGGGAAACCAGCAGTTAGCGTAATGGCTATGTCGCTGGACTCCCACGTAGTCGACCGCGGTTCATGGCCCGGACCCGGTGGCTTAAAACCCACGCCAGGCGCATGTGCGTGTGTGCCCAAGATCCCGAGAGGAGAATGGAGGAGAAGGGTTTGCGGCGTGGCCATCCCCCCTGGGGGGTGATTTCTCGCTTTCTGTCTCTATGTCTCTCTCTGTCTGTCTGGTGAGCGCACGTGCCCTATAGTGAAAAACCTCTCAAAAAAAAAAAAAGTAAATAAATAAAAGAAAAAGTCATACAATTCTATTTCACCAGTTCAGTCTGATGTACTTTATCTTCTGTTGTGGTCCAATCTTTCCGTTTAAATTTGGGAAGATAACATTCAATGTCGGACTTGTCCCTATCATTAGGTTGGCCATTTTCTTAATTGTTTTTGAACTCTTATTTCTGTGTGTCTGACTTTAGTTTTCCTGGTATAGCAGGAAAACTAAAGGGAGCTTCAGAACTTCTTAGAGAGCTGGTCTGGTGTTGGTAAATTTTTTTAGGTTTTGTTTATCGAGAATGTTCTTGTCTTTTCTTTCCATAGGAAGGATAATCTTGTTGAAATTGTTTTTTACTTAACCCTTTGAATATATTTTCCCATTCTTTCCTTCTTGCTTGCATTGTTTCTGATGAGAGGTCTGCTGTTAGTCTGATGGGATATCATTTGTAGGTAACTTGACATTTCTCTCTTGCCAGTCTTAGTATCTTGACTTTATGGGGACCAGCAGTTAGCGTAATGGCTATATTACCGAACTCCTATGTAGCCAACTGCAGTTCAAGTCCCGAACCCAGTGACTTAAACTCACACCAGGTGCGTGTGTGTGTGTGCCCAAGATCCAGAGAGGAGAATGGATGAGAAGGGATTGTGGCGTGGCCATACCCCAGGGGTGATTTCTCGCTTTCTGTCTCTCTTTCTGGCCAGCGCACGTGCCCTATAGTATCTTGTCTTTATGGTTTTGGTCAATCTGGATATGAGAATCTGGCCTTGGAGAAGATCTTCTTGGGTTGATTCTATGTGGGGTCCTTTGTATTTCTTGGGTCTGGATCTTTGAATGCCTCTCTAGGTTTGGAAAGTTTTCTTCCAGGATTTCATGGAATAGATTATCAATGCCCTTATTAGTTTCTTCACCGTCTGGGATACTGATTATCCTGATGCTCGGATGTTTAATGGTATCTAGTATTTCTCATATGTTATTCTCATTTTGGGGGGCTATTTTCTCAGTCTTTGTGATGGATTTTTCTAGTCCAGCGATTCTGTCTTCTATGTCTGAGATTTGGTCTTCTGTGTGACCTAGTTTGATTTTAATACTTTCAAGGGAGGTTTTGATTTCCTGTATTACAATCTTCACCTCTAAGAGTTCCATTTGATTCTTTTTTATGGTGTGTATTTCCTCTTTCAGATCTTGCAAAAAGCTTCCTCACCTCCTGGAACTCATTGTCTCTTTTTTCCTGCCTCGTCTGGATTTTATTGTCTCTCTCCTCTTGCATCTCTGTTAACTTTGTCACTATGAGTATTCTAAATTCTTTATCAGACATTTCCGTGATTTCCATTGTACTATCTGTGGATGAAGAGAAACTATTCTTTTCCTTTGTGAGAGAAGTATTTTCTTGGCTTCTCATATTTCTTGTACCTCTGCAGTGATTTCTGGCCATCTGATGGGTTATTTGTTTCTTCCTAACTTCTTATCTGGAGATTTCAGCCTGCGAGTTGAATGGGTGTTCTCAGTCTGTGAGTTGATCCATCTCTCTATGGAGGCCTGGTGGAGGAGAACCCGAGAAAAGACTGGGTGTCAGCACCTCATTCAATTCTGGGGCCCCTTCATCCCTGCATGCTCCTCCTGCTAAATCCGTGTCTCAAGGGGCCAGCACCATTCACTTGAAGGGTTCTAATCCAGTTCTCCACCAGAAACTTTGACAAGGGATAGCCAAAGGTAAAAAAAAAAACACCAAAAAACTGTCTACCGCCTGTGGTCAGAAAAATGATTTTGAAAGCACAAGAATGTGCCCCATAATAAAGTGGCAATAGAATGGGGATACCACTGAAAGCCTGCATTTTGGAATGTTACCTTTCAATGTTTAACTCACTGTCCCTGCCAATCATTTCCAGTAGGGTGTTAATAAAACCACAACATACGTTTTCTCACACAGACTCTAAATTATTTTATTTAATTTTGTTCATTGTCATTATTTATTTTACTTTTAAAAAGTTGACCAGAGGGAGACAGGGAGAGAGGGAAGTGAGAAAGCAAGCTGCAAGGTCCAGGATTCGAACCATGGTCAGCCATGTGGGAGTCCAACTGCCTTAACCAGCACACCACTTGCTGACACCCCCTGCCCACCGTCTTTTCTTTTTGAATTACTATTATTTGGTTCCTTTCATTGACACGTAGTGACTGTACGAATTACGGACACGATATGCCATGATGTTCTTCCTCCCCCCTTTCCTGAGTGTTTCTTTACCTGCCTGTAGCCCCTATTTTTCTCCCCAGGTCTCGGAGGAGGGTTTGGATATGTGGTCGGGGGAATCCACTGGGATAAAACCAGCTTTGGGAGAGCCCTGGGGGGACAGCTCCGCGTCATTTACATCTTCACTGCTGTCACCCTGAGCGTCACCACCGTCCTGACCCTGGTCAGCATCCCTGAGAGGCCCCTGCGGCCCCTGGGAGAGAAGAGGACACCCATGAAGAGCCCCAGCCTCCCGTTGCCTCCCTCCCCGCCCGTCCTGCTGGAGGAAGGTGCTGGTGACCCGCTCCCCCCACAAGCGGCCGCCAACCTGTACGCGAGCTTCTCCAGCCCCATCTCCCCGCTCAGCCCCCTCACGCCCAAGTATGGCAGTTTCATCAGCCGGGACAACTCCTTGACGGGCATTAACGAGTTTGCGTCGTCATTTGGCACCTCCAACATAGACAGCGTCCTCATCGACTGCTTCACGGGCGGCCAGGACAACTACCTGGCCATCCCCAGCAGCGTCCCGAGACAGGCCATCAGTGTCAGCTTTCCCCGGGCCCCCGACGGCTTCTACCGCCAGGACCACGGGCCTCTGGGGAGGAGGGAGGGTGCCCTGACGTCCGGCTCCGATGGAGACATTTTAAGGGTGGGCTCCCTGGACACATCCAAACCACGGTGCTCTGGGATTCTGAAGAGACCCCAGACCTTGGCTATCCCAGATGCGGCTGGAGGAAGTGGGCCGGAAACTAGCAGGAGAAGGAACGTGACCTTCAGCCAGCAGGTAAGTACGAGCGACGAGGAGGGAACCGAGGGACGGCATGAGGTTGTCAGACGATGAAGGAGGGTCGACCCGGGAAGTTCCTGGCCTGTCACAGAGGGCCATGAGGGACCCAGAAACCTGCACTTCGTCCCTTGCGTGTCAGTGAATCCGTCCTGGGCCTAGTGAGTTCAGGGTCTGTGCAGTGGCAGTCAGGAGGCTGAACCTGGCTACAAACCAGAGGGACAGTCCTTTCAGACAGCTGTGCATGCCCCGAGGTGATTCAGGCTGGGACTGTCCCTCTGTGTGCATTTCCTTTGCTCCTAGTACCTTTTCCCTCATGGCCCAGGCCACAGCCCTTGTTGGCTGAGAACCCGGGGCCAGTGTCGCCAAGGTTTTGTTGCAGCTGTGTCTGGGACCACCCTCCTGGAGGCTGACATGAGCTGACTTAGAGGCTGGGGAAGCACTGGATTCTCAAGGGCAGAGGCCAAGAGCCTCCAGAGGGCCCTTTGAGTTGTTACTTAGCATAAGTTGGATTGACTGCAAGGCCACCAGCTGACATGCAGGATTTTACCAGCTTTCGGCATACTTGGTCTGGAGTAGGCGACTTTTTGTTTTTTTGGGGGAGAGGTTTTTGCTATAGGGCGCATGCGCTCTCCAGACAGACAGAGACAGAGAAACAGAAAGTGAGAAATCACGCCCCAGGGGGGATGGCCGCACTGCAATCCCTTCTCCTCCATTCTCTTCTTGAGATCTTGGACACGCACGCACACGCGCCCGGCATGAGTTTAAGCCACCAGGTCCAGGACTCGAACAGTGGTCGAGTGGGAATGCAGCGACATAGCCATTTAAACTTTCAGGTCGTCAGGAAAGTCAGAATGCAGTTTTGCATAGAGAACACAGTGGATATGACAGTTTTGTCTCCGACCTACCTCAGGGGAGCAATAGGAGGAGACATGGATTTGGTGAGAATTGGAATTTCTTGAGCACAAGCTCCACGAAACTGGACCTGCCCTGCAAGGGTCCCTCAGGAGAGGCAGGTCTGAAGGCCAGGTGGGCTGCAAGCACGGCCCAGCGAGACACTTTGCTCAAGTCACAGACATATGTGGGCTGTCTATCCATGAAGCAGACCCAAATCTAGTCCACACAAGACAGGGATGAACGCGTGATCGGTGAGGGGCCCCGTCCTTCCCCCCAGTGAGTCCAGTGTCCCTTCTCTGTGCCCGCAAGACTTCCCGGCTTTAGCTGGAGGTTAACCAGAGACATACTTTGCGGGAGCTGTTCGTTTTCTGCTCATCGTTAAATTCTTAAGCACATATGGGGCTCGTTTGCTTTTCTCTGGTGCTTTCTCAGTCTTCATGCTGATGTGTCGTCGCTTAAGTGGGACAATGGTCGCATCTCATAGAAGGACGCGCGAAGCACGCACCCGCCCTCGCAGGGAAGTGCACTGAGGCTCCCATGGGCAGGGTTGAGGCCAGCTGCTGCGCTGGTGTCTGGAAAGAGTTGCAGAGCTGAAAGTCGTCCTAAGTATCAGAAAAGCCTGTTATTGTCAAAGGAAAGCAATTGGGCATCGCTAGCCTCTTTCTTAACGATGTCAGAGTAGTTCATCTGCGCCCTTTATGTTTTTTTAAGGTTTTTGCCATAAGGTGTGTGCGCTCACCAGAGAGAGGTAGAGAAGAGACAGTGAGGAGAGTGTAAAACCTGAAGCTGCAACACCCGGGGGGTTGGCCATGCCAATCCCTCTCTCCATTCTTCTCCTGGGATTTCGGGCAAGCATGCACCTATGTCCAGTGGGAGTTTCAAACCACCAGGTCTGGCACCCAAACCACGGTCGGCCTTGGGGGAGTCGGGCTCTTTGCCACCACACTACCTGCTGGCCCAGTCTGGGCTTTTGTCAATATTGGATTATTCTGTCCTACCAGGGATCTTTGGAAAAGTTTGTAGAAATGTGTATTATGAAAAAACTACGTATGGATTTAAAACATTTTCGTCAGCAAAATAAACTCACACTTTAATTCTATTTTTTCCACAAACTTTTGATATACTTTCATGTTTCAAAAAATTCAAATTGATTTCTAGATATAACTCTTTAAATATGGATGAAAATCTCATTTTAATTTTTTTCTATTTCTATTCTGTAGAGTGTAGTTTATGCATCTGTTCTTTGAGGAAAGTACGAATCACAAGTTAAATGTAAGCACACGCAGGCTGGAGCAGGGACGGGGTGTGATTTTAGTGGTCTCCCTCCAGCAGGCGTGGGGACAGGCTCGGGGGGGGCGTCACTGGCTTGGAGCCTCTAGAATATCCGCCTGGAATCCAGGTGCTGGCAACACCACAGACACTCCCAGGGGAGCCAGGTGGCATCTCCTCTTTACTTTGGAAACACCTAAATGCCAAAGCATCAGTTCACCTGGCTGGAGTCTGTGCCCCAAACCCAGGCAGGGCTCCATGGAATGAACACTTCTCGTTCCGGAAGTCCACAGACCGTCAGCAAGCATATGTGCCTGGGGGTGTTGTTCCCGAGCCCCCAGCGCAACCCAACCCCCACTGGCTTCAGTTTCCATTCTGCTGCCAATGCCGGAGGCCTTGGGTGCACCGGGAGGCCTTGGGTGCACCGGGAGCCCAGGCCGGGGGGGCAGGTGCTGACTTGGCCACCCTGCCCTCTGTGATGGGGATTCCACTTGTGCAGGGAGAATTTTGAATAGGATCCCTCAATCACCTTGGAATAAGTCTTCCAGAACCTTCTTTATATGCAGAAGACATTATAATGAGTGTGTTTGAACTTACATCCTTTTATTTAACATTTTTGTTTTGCAAGGTATTAACTCTCCGTGGTTTGGACCTGGAAACCTCTGGCTAGCTCTGGGCACACCAGAATGGATTCTGTTCTTGGTGCCCTGGGCGGGCCTCAGAGGAGACGACCTGACGTCGTTCTCTTGCCGGGTGGTGTCTTGGTAACCCTGCCTGACAAGACAGCCCTCCCCAGCCTCCGTGTCTCGTGTGTCTGAAAGCGCATTCCCTGTCTCAGCCCGCCCGATCACATGGGCCGCGTGAGGAGGGCCGAGGGCTCGGCTGAGGCTGCGGCTTCCTTCCCAGGTGGCCAACATCTTGCTCAACGGCGTGAAGTACGAGAGCGAGCTGACCGGCTCCGGGGAGCAGGCGGAGCAGCCGCTGTCGGCGCGGCGTCTCTGCGCCACCATCTGCAACATGCCCAAGGCGCTGCGCAACCTCTGCGTCAACCACTTCCTGGGTGAGCGCGTCTCGTTCAGGGCTGGGCTGTGCTGCGTGATGGCATAGGTGCCCTGTCCTCAGGCCCTCGCCCCTCGGTTTCCCTGGGTCCCAGAGACTCACTTCCCACTCACTAGCCTCCCACAAGGACACCAAGACGGAACTGGGGATATCGCTGCCCTGCAGGGCTCTCCTCCAGGATGCCTGCTTCTGGCAGCCTCAAAGGAAACCAGGCGCTGCCTTTGAGAGGCACCCCACTTCCTGGGTCAGACATCTGGGCGTCCTCAGAGCTAGATCCTCATGACCAAACGCTCTTCAGACCTGCCAGAGCTGAGTGAAGGTCTGCACCGCCCTCTGCCTTGCTCATCTGGGAGCCTAGACACAGACGTGCACCTGCAGGGGTGTCTCGTGCACTTGTTCTGAGAGTCACCAGCTCGCTCTTCAAATGACTGTTGAAAAGCCCTATCTTGTATTTCATTCCCCTGGGTGTCAACAGCTCTGCTGCTGAGCTGTTGATTATCTGAGGATGATTAAGAATTTGAGATAATCCAGGCCTTTCATACATTATGGGGTGTATGACCTCAGCATGACCTTCTAGAAGGTGAAAGGCAAGAACCTTAAACTGTTCATGAACTTTATCCCAAGATCTGACTTGGTATTCCATGCGAACCATATCAGAGGTGATATCAAGGATATATATGCAAGGTGTTTCTCTCAGCATGGTTTCCAATAGCCAAAAATGGGGATGAGGGAGCGGGTTGAATATCCTATCCACACTGTAAAGTATTTTCTGGCCTTTAGAGCCAATCTGTTTGGGGCCAGCAGATGGCATAGTGGTTAAGGCACTGGACGCCCATGTGGCCCACCATGGTTTGAATCCCAGACCTGGCAGCTTGAAAGTCACACTGGACATGTGTGTTTGCATGCCAAAATGCCTAGAGAAGATGAGAGGAGAAGGGATAAAGGCATGGCCATGGTTTCTTCCTTTTCCTCTCTTTCTCCTCTGGCGAGTGCATACACCCTATGACAAAAATCTAAAACAAAACCAGAAAAGGAGTCTAATAACTGATGACACAGCAAGTTGAACGTGATAATTTATTGTGGTTCAGGAGGACCCATAAATTCCACTTTCCTCCGCCAAAGAAGCAACTGACGTGGTATGAGGAATGGAGAGCTACAGTTTTTTTTTTTTTTTTTAAATTATTTTATTTATTTATTTTAATTTGACCGGAGAGGGATAGAGTGAGAGAGAGAGACAGAGAAAGTGAGAAAGCAAGCCACCAGGTCCAGGACTCGAACCATGGTCGGCCATGTGGAAGTCCAGTGTCCTTAACCACTATGCCACCTTCTGGCCCCATGCTACATTTTTTTTTTTTTGGAGAGGTTTTTTCTATAGGGAGCGTGCGCTCACCAGACAGACAGAGAGAGAGAGACAGAGAGATAGAAAGAGAGAAATCACCCCCCAGGGGGGGATGGCCACGCCGCAATCCCTTCTCCTCCATTCTCCTCTCGGGATCTCGGGCACGCACACACACGTGCCCGGCGTGAGTTTAAGTCACCGGGTCCGGGACGCAAACCACGATCGACTACGTGGGAGTCCAGCGACATAGCCATTATGCTAACTGCTGGTTCCCCCATGCTACAGTTTAAATAGCAATAAAGCCAGTTGGATTTATCTCAGCATTTGTCCCCACTCCACCCCCTAGCTGAAGTATCACCAACATCATTCTGCCTTATGCTTACCAAAATATATGCTTATTTAAAATAAAAGATTGGGGGGCCAACAGGTGGTGTGATGGTTGGAGTGCTGGACTCTCACATGGTTGATTGACCACGGTTCCCGGACTCAGTGGCTTGAAACTCATGCCAGGTACATGTGCATGTGTACCCAAAGTCCTGAGAGAATAATGGAGGAGAGGGGATTGTGGCATGGCCATCTCTCCGGGAGATGATTTCTCGCTCTCTGTCTCTCTGGCAAGTGCATGTGTTCTATAGTAAAAATTGCTAAATTTTTTTTTTTAAATAACATGAAATAAAAGATTGAAAGGACACTGACCAATTTTACTAGAATTTGTCTCTGGATGGTGAAGCTATAGATAATATTTAATTTTTAAAATTTATTTACTTTTATTTATTATTATTTTTTAATTTGCCAAAGGGCACATGTGCTCACCAGATAGAGAGAGAAAGAGAGAGAGATACAGGGAAAGTGAGAAACCAGGATTGAAATTGTGGTCAGCCATGTCGGAGCCCAGCACCTCAACTACCATGCCACCTGCTGGCCCCTTTATATATATATATATATATGTTTTAAGTTTGTTTATGTCTTCCATGAGTAGCAGAAAGAGACAGAGAGACAGCACTCCCACCAAGGGCTGGAGGCCACAATCCAGGAGGCCACAATCTAGCTGCAGCCAGAACAGGATCCTGGGCTCATGTGCCTGGAGGACTCACGGAGGTCTCTGGATGTGAATCCAGAGCCTTTCTAATGTAGGTGGGTCAGCCTTGCAAAGCTTTGTGTATTACTCCTGTGACACACAAGGAGGCCCGGTCTGACCCCTTAATTTCTCAGTCTGTAAAAAATCCCTGTTAACTTTTACGTTCGATAAGAGCATGCTGGGCAGAGCTGCGGGCTTTGCATCCAGCCTCAGACCCGCTTCCTGCCTTCCAGGGTGGCTGTCGTTCGAGGGGATGCTGCTCTTCTACACGGACTTCATGGGCGAGGTGGTATTCCAGGGCGACCCCAAAGCGCCGCACATGTCAGAAGAGTATCAGAAGTACAGCAGTGGCGTCACCATGGGCTGCTGGGGCATGTGCATCTATGCCTTCAGCGCTGCCCTCTACTCAGGTACCTGCTGCCTGGCGCCCGCGCCCAGGGCCCTTCCATTATGGCCGTGGGTTGCCTTCCGAGTACGTGAAATGAGGGGAGGTTGTGTCTCTACAACCGCAGACAAATCCCAGTGTAGGGAGCCCCACTGTCCTGCCGCAGTGGCCAGGCAGCTGCTGAGGGCCTGCTGGCTGCCCCGCTATGTGTGCGTGGCTGGGCGGGGCCCAGGAGGCACCGGGGGTGCAGAGACCCACTCTGCAGACATCGGGCCTCCAAAGACCTGGCAGCCCACAGGTACGTGTCTAGACCTCACCAAGCTAGGGGACCACAACAACGAAAAATCAGGGACCCAAGGACAAGCCATGAGGCCACCCCCGGGTGAGTGTGCAGTCCGCCAGTCCCCATGTCCCTTCCACATTGCTTCAGAGAGTTATTGGTCTGGAGGGAGGAGGAGGATAGAGGTGAGCATGGAGAGGTGGGAGGGACATGGCGCATCTGGGGTGTGCAGAGGCAGGTCCCCGATGACCCTGAGGCTTTGTATCTGCTGACCCTCGGGACACAGAAGCAATGCTGAGCTCACACGGGGATGCTGGGCCGAGAACACACCACAGTGGGGACCTAGTGGGCATTGTGGAGTGGGGAGATTTTACGGCTGGGGTCTCATACTTTCTCTATAAGAGGACACACAGGTTTTTCAGCTTCATGGGCCACACGGTCTCTGTTACAGTCACTTGCGGGTACCTTTGTGGTCGAAAGCAGTCAGGTGACATGTAACCGAGTGGCTGGCCATGTGCCAGTACATTCTTTTATTTTAGGTTTTTGTCATAGAGTGCATGTACTCGCTGGAGACAGTGAGAGGGAAAGTGAGAAATCGCCCCCCAGGGATGCCATGCCACAATCCCGTCCCCTCTATTCTCCTGGGATCTTGGTTATGCACACACATGTATCCAGTGTGATTCTTTTCAAGCTGCCAGGTCTGGGACTCAAACCATGGTCGGACATGTGGGAGTCCAGCACCCATTCACCATGCCACCTACTGGCCCTATCTACCTATACAATTTTATTTTCACTGAAATTCGAATTTCATAGACTTTGCATGTCATGAAATTATCTTTTTTTTTTAAAAAAATAACCATTTAAATGAAAAATACAAAATTCTTAACTCCAGGCTCTGTAAGACCAGGCTGTGGGCCGGACTCAGCCTGAGCTATAGCTGGCTGTTTTATGTTCCCTCTGACCGCATTCGCACCCTGTAGTGAAAGATTATTGCTTTGGGGTTGGAGGAGAGGGTTGAGAGGCTGTATTAAGGAAGAATTTGCTGGATTTTACTTGCAAGTCCATGGGTTGGCAGCTGAGGTGCTGTTCCCCTGTAGCTGGGAGGCCTTAGTTCGTGGGAGCAGTCCTGCATTATCTGTGACATGTTATTGCCACTTATGTTGTCATGCCATCTCCGGAGACCTCGCGGTGTCATAAATCCAATGTCTGGCTTGGGGGCAGGCTGTCGGCCCCGTTATAGGAGAGGGTGATAATCCATGCAAAAACAGAAGGGGTTTAACTCAAAACCCCAGATCCCTGAGCCTTTCTGATGTTTCAGCCTACAGAAAAGCCCCCCGGGTATCTGGCTAGGGCTGGTGGACACCCCAGGTCCTGCCCTGGGCATCCACTGGAGCCAGTGGGAGTCGCTGGGCTCCCCTGGTCTGGGGTGACCTGTCAAGTCTGAGCACCGCTAGCTTCAGGGTCAGCCCCTCTGCAACCAGGAAGCTGAGTCCCAGAGGCCATGGGCCACTCCCCCTGTCTGGTCTGCAGCTGTCCTGGAGAAGCTGGAAGAAGTCCTCAGCATCCGCACCCTCTACTTCATCGCCTATCTCGCCTTTGGCCTGGGGACGGGGCTCGCCACCCTGTCCAGGAACCTCTACGTGGTCTTGTCCCTCTGCATAACCTATGGGGTTTTATTCTCCACCCTGTGCACGCTGCCCTACTCGCTCCTCTGCGATTACTACCAGAGTAAGAAGGTGAGTGCTTCTGCTTTTCTTGCTGCGGGTCTGTGAGGAGGTCTGGTTCTTAGAAACACCGCCTCACCTGAGAACTGTCCCCCAGGATTGGCCACATAATCCACTGGTGCAAAATGGAAAGGGGGGGTCCATGTTTGTAAGGGAGGATATTAAGACAGTGAAACAGAGCAGTAACTCACAAGGGCCCTCCGAACATGCCACCCGCACCCCTGTGAATCTGCCCGAGTCGCTTGCCCAGGAAGCCACCCTGCTGCCCCCTCCTCCCCAGCTTCTTTAGTGGACACCCCCAGGGTACTCCCCAATGTGTATCACCTTGGGGTGGCCAGCGGGGTCCTGCCCTCTGTTAGGCTTCTGGGTTCTCTATTAACATGGGCAGAACAATTCAGGGCCAAGCTTAGGAGGCGAGAGAGGCATAGCCATGTTGGCAAGATGGAGAGTATGTTAATACAGCATTTTTTTTTTTAAATTTGCCAGAGAACACGTGTGAAGGTAGCAGGGCTGGGGGAGGGACTGCAGCAGGGAGAGAAGTGGAAAAGCATGGGGATGGCCACACCACAGTCCCTTCTCGTACACTCTCCTCTTGGGATTTTGGGCACGCACACATGTATGCACATCTGTGCCAGGTGTCTTTCAAGCTGCCAGGTTCACAACTTGACCTGTGCAGTCGGCCACGTGGGATGCAGCTGCCTTCATCACCGTGCCACCAGCTGGCCCTAACAGTATTTTTAAAAGTCAGAATTCATGCCAAACAAAATATTGAACATTTGAATAGAGACAGGATCAGTTACAGTGCCCTACCAAACCTTATTGGGATATGAGACAAAAGGGAAAATAAGGAATACTAATCCTGCCTTTACAAGTCCTTTTGGGTATTTTGTCCCACGTGGAATGGGATAGAACTCACCATGTAATACCGTACAATTACCCACATAAAGTGTACAACTTTATAGCAATGGTTTCTGCGTTAGGCACAGATTTGGGGAGCCAAAGGACTGCGATCAATTTTAGAACATGTCTCACCCTAACAAGGAACCCCTCAGCTATGACCCCGTGACCTCCCACCTCCCTGGGCCTAGGCAACACTAGTTTAGCCAAGGCTCTGCAGACTCTGGGTACTTTGTGTAAGTGGAACCATGCACTCTGCGGCCTGCGTCTGCCTTCTTTGACGCAGCCTAATATTACGATTTTCAAGGCCATGCTTGGTGTCGTATGTGCCAACTCCACTCCCTTTATGGCTGCATAATAGTCCTTCAGAGATTTTTTTGAAAAAGAATTATTTAACTTTATTTTTATTTTACTTAGTTATTTAAATTTGACCAGAGAGGAACAGAGAGAGAGAGAGAGAGAGAGCGAGAGAGAGCGAGAAAGCAAGCCACCAGGTCTGGGACTTGAACTGCAGTCGCCATGTGGAGTCTAGTGCCCTTAACCACCACGTCACCTCCACCCCCCGCCCCCAGTGATTTTTTTGCAATAGATCTGAAATAGAAAAGTACTGCATTAAAATATTACCACAGGGACCAGCAGATGGCGTAATGGTTACATTGCTGGACTCGCAGATAGTTGACTATGATTCAAGTCCCGGACCTGGTAGCTTAAAAATGCATGCTGGGCATGTGTGCGTGTGTGCCCAAAATCCCAAGAGGAGAATGGAGAAGGGATTGCAATGTGGCTATCCCCACTGGGGGTTGGTTTCTCGCTGTCTGTGTCTCTGTCTCTCCAGCAAGCACATGCACCCGATAGCAAAAATCTCTAAAAAAACCCCCCACAATCCCTGAACACCCCCTTTAATTTTGTTGCTCAGTCACCTTCCCCAGGCCCAGCCTCCATGTGTGTGGAGGGGGGTGCAGTCTCCTAGCTTAGCCAGGCTGGCCCCAGTACAGAGCTTAGGAGCCATGAAAGTGGCCTGAACTCCCAGTGCTTCTGCTCCAGGGAGGCAGCTGAGACCCCTCCCTTCAACTTGGCCAGTCACATGAGACAAGCAGTGGCTATGAGGACTGTACCTCAGGGGTGGCTGCCCGTCACCCTGAAGCTCCAGTTCCCCTCACTGGGGTAAATGGAGGTGCCAGTTTATTTTTTAGTTTTGTCTTAGGCGTCCACTTGTCAGAGACAGAGAAAGAGGGAAAGTGAGGACCCCTGAGGGGGATGGCCAGGCCACAATCTCTTCTTTCTCCTCTCGGGATTTGGGCACACGTGCACGCATGCCTGGTGTGTTTTTCAAGCCCCTGGTCTGGGACTGGAACTGTTGAGTCAGCCATGTGAGATCCAGCACCTTAACTACCACGCCACCTGTTGGCCTAGATGTGCTGGGTTTGGGCCCCATGGGAGGAGACACTGAGCGCTGAGGGCCACTTGGTCCAGACACAGTCAGAGCTGTTCAAAAGGCTTAGTCCTCTGTGACCAGAGTCTCCTAGACTTCTCTCGGCCTCTGGGGCTGGAAGCTCAGGGCTAGCTGTGTGTCAGAGGCCTGCACCCCTCGCCCCTGTGTGTGGCCTCCTTGCAGTGCCCTCAAACACAGCAGCAGGCTGGACACCACCTTCTCCAGCATCCCCGAGACCCTGCTTGTGTCTGGATACAGGCAAGGCAACGCTGGTCCCCAAGTGACGCGCATCAGCAGCTGTTGGGTGAGGGCGCTCCCAGCTGGGGAGCAGTGATGGGACCCACGTCACCCCTTCCCCACACACACTCCTGAGAGACCACACTCTCACCATGATTCCCTGCGTGATGCAGTGTGTGGGGAGGGAGTTGAAGGTGCAGCCAAGCTGGAGGCCGTGAGCACCCCCAGAAATGGCCGTGGGCCAGGAGCTGTGCATGTGGCGGGGTAGCTCAGAGGTGGTGGGCCTCGCACTAGCAGGTGAAGAGTGGGCAGAGCAGACTGCAGTGACCCTCCAGTGGGACAGAGTCCTCTGGGGAGGGCAAGGGGCAGGGACCAAGCGCTCTTGCAGCCTGGGCCCTGAGATGTCAGCCCTCCACCCCTATTAGTCATGGATTCCTATCGTTGTCATCATCTCTCCGAACACAAACATTATTAAACTTGGCGGAACTCCCTGTGCACGCCGGCCCTGGAAAATGTGAAGGCACCATGCTGTGCGTGGGCTGGCAGGTCTCTTGGGGGTGTAGGAAACACGGGCTTGGTCATGGTCACTCAGGCCCATTAGGGCTGGTCGGCAGGTCCCCCTGACACATTTCTTCTTCTGGATCAGTTCGCAGGGTCCAGCGCAGACGGCACCCGGCGAGGCATGGGTGTGGACATCTCCCTGCTGAGCTGCCAGTACTTCCTGGCCCAGATTCTGGTCTCCCTAGTTCTGGGGCCCCTGACCTCGGCCGTGGGCAGCGCCAACGGGGTGATGTACTTCTCCAGCCTCGTGTCCTTCCTGGGTTGCTTGTACTCCTCCCTGTTTGTCATTTATGAAATTCCTCCCAGTGACACCACCGGGGACGAGG